AACAGGAAGAGGAAGAAGACAATTTGTTTTATAGTTCATATGTTCCTGAACCTGAGGAATCATACTTAATATAGATGATATAATTTTGGACTTGAACCTGAAGTTATAATGGGATGAACTTTTGGAGAAGTTGGGGGTGGGGGAGATTAATGTATTTTACACGGGGGAGGAATTGAAATAATTTGTGGTCTCTGGGCAAACTGCAGTCAATTAAAAAGGATAGCTGCCAATTCTTTACCCCTCCTCTCATCAAGTGGTAGAGTCTATTTTTACTCCCCTTGACTCTGAATTGTGCTGTAATTTATCTAAAATGCTCACACAGACTTCCCTGGTGGCACAGTGGATAAGAATCCACCTGTCAGGGCAGGGGACACAGGTTTGATCCCTGGCTGGAGAAGATCCCACATGCTGCGGAGCAACAAAGCCCAGTGAGCCACAACTACCGAGCCTGTGCTCTTGGGCCCGAGAGCCACAACTACTGAACCTGTGTGTCACAACTAAGGAAACCTGCGTGTCCTAGAGCTGCAACTACTGAAGCCTGCAATGCCTAGAGCCTGTGCTTCACAAGACAAGCCGCCATAGTGAGAAGCCTGCGCAGCTCCATAAAGACTAGCCCCTGCTCACTGCAACAAGAAAAAGCATGCATGAAGCACCCAAGACCCAGCTAGCCAAAAATAAATACATGAGAATGAAGAAAGAGGGTGCCCACCTGACGCTTAAGGCTAGGCCCTCTGGGATGTGCATCTTTTCCCCTTGTTCTTAAAATGCTCATTCCAGGAACACACAGTCCAGTTTGTGAGAAAACCCAAGTAGCCACGTGAGAGGCCCTTGTGGAGAGGCCCACGTGAAGAACCGGGACTCCTGACCCATGACCCATTCTGACCCAACCCCCCACCAGTGCCAGCTGCCAGCCATTGTGAATGACACCATTTTGGAGGTGGTGTGTTATACAGAAATAAATAATTGAAATAACTATCTACCATGTGCCAGGCACTATTCTATGCTCTTCTCATCTACTAGGGTGAAAAAAATGTAAAATGACAGGTGCAATGAGGGTACTATAAGAGGGCAGAGGAAATCACTAACCAGTTGAAGGCAATCTGCAGGCAGAAGCAGTCAGCTGGGTGGTTCTGGGAAGATCAGCATTGGATGGGCAAACACCAAACCCAGATTCCAGCTTTTGTCCAATCAGCACTGCAACTTCCTCCTTCTGGTATCTCTTCATGGTATTAATTTTTCATCAGACAAAGAGTGAAAAGAACTGAAGAAGGTTATCTCGGGTCTGTTTCTGTCTCTAACTCCATTTCAGGTTTAGACAGCTGGGTGATGTTGTCCTGGGCGGCTTTTGACTTTATGGACCTTTCTGAAGCAAGAAACAGTTCTAGGTACCTTGGGATGGGGGAGCTGTTGGGCTGTGTCAAGCCTCAGTAGATTCTGCATATTCCCAAGAGACGGACAATAAGCAAGTGTTGTTCCTTTTTCTGCTTTCTGGCCACAGAGAGGGTCTTTGGGTAGGTCTGTGACCCCTAACCTCTCCTCGATTCTGTCTCTTGGTCATTTTCTGGACATGTAAAAGATACACCTCCATTTTCCCCTCCTCACCTTTATCAGAAAGGGGACTGTTCTGACCCATCCTCACTCAATAGCCAGGCATTTTTCTCTAGGCATAGACAGTTGGGGCCAGCTTTACCCTTACCAGTTCCCTGGTGAACAACTCTTGACTTCTGTGTTCGAAATACAATGCACTATAGACTGCTAGGGTCCTCTGTCCATGGGATTCTACAAGCAAGAATACTGGAGTTGGTTGTTATATTCTCCAGGGGATCTTCCCAACCCAGGGGTTGAATCCAGATCTCCTGCACTGCAGACAGAGTCTTTACCGTCTGAGCTACAAGGAAGTATACTTACATATATGTAAAATAATATATTTAACAAATATTCTAGGTATTTTAACAAATGTCTATTCAGTGCCAACTATGTGTGTGGTCCAGTTCTAGGAGCTGAGGATACAGTTACAGTAAACAAGCGAGAAAGTTCCTGCACTCACGCTTCTGATCTTCTAATATGAGAGGAAGAGAGAGACAATAATAAATTAAATGTTTAATTTTGGGTAGTGATAACTACTCTGAAAAAAAATCAAGCAGGTTAAGGAGATTTGGGTGGGGGGAACTATTCTACACAGGTTAGTCTGAGAAGCCCTCTCTCATAAGGTGACATTTGAGAGATCTGAATGTACAATAGGGCTAAGTATTGGGCTTCCTAGGTGGCTCAGTGGTAAAGAATCCACCTGCCAATGCAGGAGATGTAGTAGATGCAGGTTTGATCCCTCGGTCGGGAAGATCCCCTGGAGGAGGGCATGGCAACCCACTCCAGTATCCTTGCCTGGAAAATCCCATGGACAGAGGAGCCTGGCAGGCAGCAGTCCATGGAGTCAAAAAGTGGCAGACACGACTGATTGACTGAGCACAGGAGGCACTTCATAGGTGTTTCAGGCTAAGTGAACAGCAAATACAAACATCCTGAGGCAGGAAGAAACAGGGTAAGTTCAAGGAATAGCAGCAATTAGGCTAGTGTGGCTAAAGCAGGTAGAGCATGGTACAGGGTGATAGCAGAAGAAAGTGATAGGGGAATACAGATAGAAATCAGATAAGACAGGGCTTCTACAGATGTGGAGTTTTCTCTAAATACACATCTGCCTCTTTGCGACCCTATGGACTGCAGCCCACCAGGCTCCTCTGTCCATGGGATGCTCCAGGCAAGCATGTTGGAGTGAGTTGCCATTTCCTCTTACAGGGAATCTTCCTGACTCAAGGATTGCACCTGCGTCTCCTGCCTCTTCTGGATTAACAGGCAGATTTTTTACCACTGAGCCACCTGGGAAGCCCTTTTTCTAAATAAAGTGGCATGAATTGATTTATGATTACAGTGATCTTCCTACATGCTTGGAGAATAGCTTGGGGAGGGGGCATGGTAAAGGTAGAAGCAGGGTGACCGACCAATTAGGAGTCTACTTTATAATCTAGGCCACCATGATGGTAGCTTGGTCTAGGACGGTTATAGCAGAGTTAGCAAGTGGTTGATTCTGATAATTTGAAGGTAGCACTGACAAGACTTGCTGAGGGGCTGGAAATGCCCTTTAAGAGTAAGAAAAGCACATCAAGGACACCTTTTAGGTTTGGGGCTTGGGAAAATGGATGAACAACAGTGAGATGAACAGTGGAGAATGCCATTCTCTGAGGTGAGTAAGAATGGAGTGGAGTGTAGGGAGTAGGTTGTTGGGGGCAGGATGTGTTGAGTTTGAGATGCCAGTAGGAGAGGCAGTTGAATATGAGATGGTTGGTCAGGGCTGGAGATAGAAAATTTTGCAGTCATCAGCATGCAGATATTACAAATCACCCCTAGGCAGTGTACACAGAAAAGAGCATCGTGGACTATGGGCTGGGGCCTTCAACAACCAGGAAAGAGGAGAAGCCCAGGAAAAGAGACAGAGTGGTGGCCAGTGAAGTGAGGAAAACGTGGTGTCCAGAAAGCCAAGTGAAGAAAGTAGATTCTGTGTGATCGCAACCACGTGTCAACTCCTGAGCCTCAATTTTCTCAACTGTGAAGTAGCAAGAGTCACAACTGCCTACTTCATGGTGTTGATTGAGGCAACGTACGTAAAGCAGTCACACTTGCGCCTGACTGGCTGTAGGAAACTTTCAGTGTATGGTAGCACTTTAGAGGAGGCTGCCACAGCCCCTCAGCTGCTTCGTCCACCAAAGTGATAGCGCCTCCAGGAGTCTTTCTCAGGAAGGAGGGGCCTGCCCACCGAGGCAATCAGGTGGGCCCGGGTCAAATCTGAAGCAAGCGACTTCAGTGCCTAAACCTCTCACCCAGACAGCTTCCAGCCTTTATCTGCTGCAAATCAACAAGCGGGAAATAATGGTTTTAGAGCCAGAAGTCTGCCTCTGCCTCACACCAGCTAAGCAAGAGTCTTAAATTTCTTGAGCCTTGAACTCTATCTGTAAAATGGGAACAATGCCCTAGTTCACGGCATTGAGTCCATGTCCGTTCACACTGTAAATAAAGCCAGCTGTTCTCCCTTTGCGTGGCAGCGTAGGAGTTACTTGGGCTCCTAGACATCCTCCCACGCAATGCATGGTGTGGGATGCGCTAGAACAGGCACCCACACACTCCCAATCCGAGCTGGGTGGGTCTTCGATATCCCCTAGCCCGGGCAGTGAGGGACCTAGCTCCGCCCAGAGAGGGGGTTCGAACCTCCGGGAGAATCCTTCTCCCGCCGTCCTACCTCCCGCTGGGCGTCGAAGCCGTTTCCAGGGCAACCTTTCTCCGCCCCTCTTCCCGCCCCCCCCCCCCCCCCCAGGTCAGCTGCCGCGGCCCCAACCCCTCCAGACAACCACCAGCCTGCCCTTTTTCCTCCTTCTCTGACGCCGCGCCGCAGGCCCAGGCGCGTACCCTTGCTCTTTAGCCCCGCAGGAAGTGGCGGTGCCTCTTGGGGGCAGTTTGGAGGAAGAGGAGGAGGAAGCGAGGCTTAGTAGGGACCGAATCCTCACGGTGCAGGCTTGAGAGGAGGGCAGCGTGGGAACCCGAGAGCTCAGCGAGCAGCCTGCGTGCGGCCAACGGCTCCACCCCGGTAGCCCACCCTCCACAGGCCCCGCCCTCAGACAGACCACGCCCTCCTCTCGGCCCCGCCCCACAACTCGGCCCCGCCCTCCAGCTACAGTCCAGAAAACTCAGCTTCTACCGGGGCCCTGCCCCCGCCCCCTGGCGGCCCCGCCCCAGCCCGCGCCCGCGCCCTGGGCGCACTTCTGCTAGCTGGGCTGCTGAGCCGGCGGAGTCGCCGAGATCCGCCGCCTGCTCGCCGGCGCCGCTCTTTCGCCTCCCCCCGCCGCCCGGTCCCTCCCCCAATTGCTGTGGTCTGGCAGTGCCTGGCTGGCGGCCCGCGGGCGGGCCGCCCTCCCCGCGGTAGCCCACCCCCCTCTTAAAGCGGCGGCGGGAAGATGAAGTTTCGGGAGCCGCTCCTGGGCGGCAGCGCCGCGATGCCGGGCGCGTCCCTGCAGCGGGCCTGTCGCCTCCTCGTGGCTGTCTGCGCGCTGCATCTTGGCGTCACCCTTGTCTATTACCTGGCCGGCCGAGACCTAAGACGCCTGCCTCAGCTGGTCGGAGTCCCCACACCGCTTCAGAGCAGCTCTCACGGCGCCGCCGCCATCGGGCAGCCCTCCGGGGAGCTCCGGCTGCGAGGGGCCGCAGCGCCGCCGCCTTTGCAGAACTCTTCCAAGCCGCGCTCGCGGGCCGCCTCCAACCCAGACGCGGACTCTCGCCCCGGCCCTGGCCCGGGCCCCGGGAGCAACTTGACTTCGGTCCCGGTGCCCTCCACCACAACACTGTCGCTGACCGAATGCCCTGAGGAGTCCCCGCTTCTCGGTAAGATCCCCACGGAGGTTCGCCCATGCCCTCTTCCACGACAGCCAGTCCCCCTGTTCCGGAACAGAACCCCTAATCCCCAGACAGAGGTTCCGGGCTGGACTGGGGTGAGAGGTTGGGAGTTGAGTCCCTTCGTGTTCATGGAGGCTGGGTCGGGCACGGTTTTGGAAAGCCATTAGGCCCCTCCGACCCCAGAACGGGAAAAGGCCTTGGAGACTTCCCAGCTCTGGCCCAAACCTCAAAAAGTTTCGGGAGTTTGAGTCCTGCTAACTCGGAGCAGCCTTCGCCCTGCTAACTCTGGTTAGGGACTAGCAGGCAGCTCAGAGTAACCCTCTCTAGCTTAGAAAAGTGATGATGAGGCCTCCAGCCGGGAAGGGAGCAGACCTCCCAGGTCACATCCGTAGACCCACCGTCTCCTGAGTTTGTGGATTAACTTTATTCCTAAGAGTTTGGGAACGTGACTTGTCCCTAAACCTTTGGTTTTTCATCTGTTAAATGGGAATAAGAGTTACCTGTTTCAGGGGACTCTTTTGGAAAATTAGACAAAGCAGTGTAAACAAGAGTTTAGTTGAATGTGGCTAAGCCCTGGGTAAATTGTCACTATTGTGTTCAGTTCCTCCTCTCTATAGATGCCTGCCCTGGGGCCCTCCTACCCAGCTTCCTGCCCTTGTAGGTTCCCAAAATGTATGTGAGCAGGGCCATCCCAGGGGTGGAGTGTATTTGTACCAGTGTAGTGTGTGTATCCTGGGAACTGGAGGGCTAAAATGTAAGCAGTTAGCACCAAGTTGTCCCTTCCTTGGTAGCAGCCTGAAGTCTCAGCATCTTGCCCAGATGATCTGAACTGGCGCCTCCAGCCTGTGTTTCAGCGGGAGCAGAGAGCTTGAGTCGGTGGGTTTGCATTTCTTATGTCAGGAAGGGGCTGAGCCCATGCCCATCGGAACCTCCCCTAGACCTATAATCCACTGGCAGTCAAGCTTAAGGCAGCCACAGGTTGCTCCCAAGATTACCAGACAGGTGGCTGCTCAGTTTCAATGCCAGGATGTCGAGAATGTCATTCTGAATGAGGGACCCGGCAGAAGGGCAGGCATCCTGCCAGTAGGAACTCTGTCACTTTTTCTAAGAGCCCTGGCAGAGCAAGCCTCCTACACACTCTTGCTCAATTTTTCCAATAATTACTTCAGTACTTTCATATCAAGTTTGGGAGGATGTTCTTGGAATTGGTCAGACATAAATCGTGGTAATAAAGGAGGTTTTTTGTTTGTTTGTTTGCTTTTTAAAGCAGAAGCTTGAATTCCTTTGGACTTGATGGTTAGTCTGGGTGACAAACTGGTCCTGGAAATGAAATGAAATCTTTGCCATGCTGCTGTGTGTCTGACCTCAGACATGTTACAGGGGTCCTCAGAATCCCTTTCTCGTGTAAAATGGGCTTGTCCATGCTTAACTAACAGGTTATTTTTAGGACTATATGAGATTGTGTTTGTTAAGTACATGGCAAATAGGACCCAGGATTTGAAGTTCCATTTTGTCAGCCTCTGGAGATGGCCCTGAACAGCACAGAAAGGGGAAGAGAGCTGGTGAGTCTTCACACCCCAGAGGGACTTCCCTAGTGGCCTAGACGGTAAAGAATCTCCCTGCAATGCAGTAAAGAATCTGCCTGCAATGCAGGAGACCCGGGTTCGATCCTTGGGTCAGGAAGATCCCCAGAAAAAGGAATGGCTACCCGTTCCAGTATTCTTTTTTTTTTTTCCATTTATTTTTATTAGTTGGAGGCTAATTACAATATTGTAGTGGTTTTTGCCATACACTGACATGAATCAGCCATGGATTTACATGTGTTCCCCATCCTGATCCCCCCTCCCACCTCCCTCCATTCCAGTATTCTTACCTGGAGAATTCCATGGACAGAGGAGCCTGGCAGGTTACAATCCTGCCATGGAGTCGCAAAGAGTCGGACACAACTGAGCGACTAACACAGCAGCAGACCCCAGAGAGGCCAGATTTTGACCTTTTGTTTTTAATCGTTGCCCAGATATTATGTAGAAAGAAAGGGAAATCCTTTAGCAGATTAAAGGAAAGTACCCCAGAGTTCATTAGAATGGTGTTTGAAGTATGGGACCTTTTCAGTGAAGCATAGGAGGTCGCGGTGGCCCGCGTTCACTTTGTTTTGTTTCGTAATGATGTTGCTGGTGATGGGTGGCCAGTCACTTGTTTCTGAGTTGACTCTGACAGCACAAACAGACTTCCTGAGAGATAAAGTTTTGGAGAGCGGAGGTTGGGGTGGGGAGAGGCCCTGGGCCTTCTCTAGTTCGTCCACCTTAATGTGACATGCTTGGGACCCTGATGTTTTGGCTCCTGCCGAGGCAGCTCTGGGAGTTGAGGGCAGAGGGTTTCTCTTCACTGTTATTGAGCCCTTAGGTTCGAGGACTGGATGCTCGCAGTGTGGAGGTTCCTGGTTAGGAGAGGGCCTTGAGAAAGCTGAAAGTCTCCAGGGACATGTTTGTGTGGGTTGGGGGAGTCAAGCCCATCTGTTCAGTGGGGCAGGTGTCAGCTAAAGGCCTCGCATGGTGGTTTTGAGGTCATTGGGAGAAAGCACCCTCGGGGTTTGATGCTGTGACCTTTTTACTACTTGCAGTTCCTTTGTACAACTGGGCTCTACTCTCTGGCATCCAAGGGTCTGTGCCCGATGCTTGGCGCTCTCCTGGCTGGTGGGTGACGGGCGACGGGCATGCCCTTCCTGCTGGAGCCAGACCCCAGGCTGGGCTGCTCACGGGTCCCTGTTCAATCTGTCCTGGGTTGTCAGAGCCTCAGCCAGACTTCAGTACGCTTCGGAGTTGGAGTCCTGCTTCTGTCTACCCTGTCCATCAGGGCAGGTTGCAGTGTTTGGAGCCAGAGTAGGCCCTGTCCCCAGATCCCTGCTGGGTTGAGGTGAGGCTTTCGGGAGTGAGAGCTTTAGGGGAGAGGTGGGTCTTTGCTAAGGATTCCTGCAAGTTCCCAGGGAGTCCTCCCAGGGAGTCCAGGCCTGTAGGCGCTGGCTCTGTAGCATCGCGCTGAGCATGGCATCGAGGCTCCCTTTTCTGGCTGCCTGGGTGTTTGCCTGAGATGTAGTCAGCCTGGGAGGAGTAGCGGCCTTGCGCTGAGTTACTTTTCCTGGAATGTTTATCTCTGCTTGGATTTGGCGGCAGCACAACGTACTTGACTGGCACTGCCCGCCCAGAGAGGGGCTGGCTGAGGGGTGGGCAGTGGCTCGGATAGGACTGGTTAGGGGAGGCCAGCCTGACCTGGACAGTTGGTTTCAGCCCTTGGGGTGGCGGCGGGAGGGTGTGAGTAGAGAACTGCCCAAACCTGAGGCCCTGCTTCCCCGGCTCCCCTTTGACGAGATCTTCTTATGTTCAGATGAAGACTCTGATCTAGAGGCGGGCACCAGAGAGGCGTGGGCGCCTGGGCCAGCCAACAGCTGCAGGTTGCCAGGGCCCTCCATGAGCCCTCATCCCCGGGTTTCAGGGGGCTGTCAGCCGAGCCTCTGCCGTGGTCTGTGCCCTTGGCAGGACAGAGCACTTGCTGGGCTTCTGCCTGGCTCTCAGCACCCAGGTGTTTCTCTAGCAGCACACAGGTCCCATTCCCCCCACCCTCCCATCATCACACACGGGACATAGTGTACCTAGAGGACGTGTGGCCTCAGCTCGGCGAAGGGCTGTCTCTCTCCTTTGGGGATGAGTCCTGGAGCCTCGTAACCTTCTGGCTTGGGGTGGAGCCTCATCCTGGGGCTTGGGGAGGCACCAGGAACTTCCCCTGTGTCCAGACCTTTAAGCTTTGGGAGGTTTGGTAACAGTCTTTTAAACCAGTTTTGTCCTATTGCTTTTCCTGGGGAAAATAATTTCCTAATATACACATAGACTTGCTTTCTTGTCTGACAGTCTGAGATGGAGAAATGCCCTCCATGACTTTTTGGCTCACTATTTCCCACACAGCTGATGGTCGCAGAAGTGTCTCCTGCCTGTTGTAATTTGACCCAGACTCTGAGCAAGCACATGGGGGTCTCCACCTGATGAATCGGGTGAAAGTTCCATGGATTACAGGCTGCCCGAGCCACGCATAAGATGGGACTCAAACTGTGGCATCCTGGAACCACAGCATCCCAGGATGGGTCTCCGGTTTCCTGGCCCCTGTCATGCAGTATGCCAAAGGGGAAGGATCTTGCCTCGGGCCACTCAGTCAGGCAGTAGCCAGCTGGGGCTAGAAAAACTGATATCCTGCTTCCCAGTCTAATGCTTTTCCTTAAAAATTATTGCCCAGTAGACCCTTAGTGCAGAGGCTCAGGGCAGCTTAATGTGGCCTTGAGTTTGGGAAGATCCCTGCTAGGTTTACAGGTGGGTCCATCTGAGAGGTCTGATATGGTAACACTTTGTCTGGATTTGACAGTGGGCCTGTTCGTAGGCTGAGTGCTAGAGCTATGGAGAGGGAGACAACAAAATGCCTCCATCTTTGGAACTCACAATTTAGGCAGAGGTACATGTGCTAAATCACTTCAGTTGCGTCCAACTCTTTGCGACCCTATGGGTCGTAGCCCTCCAGGCTCCTCTGTCCTTGGGATTCTCCAGGCAACAATACTGGAGTGGGTGGCCATGCCCTCCTCCAGGGGATCTTACCAACCTAGGGATTGAACCCGCGTCTCTTACATCTCCTGCACTGCAGGCAGATTCTTTATCATGGAGCCACCTGAGAAGCCCTTTTAGGCAGAGGAGGCATAATTAAACCATACTGATGTCACTTAGGGAAGCCACAGTGTGTCCAAACACGTTTAGTCTTTCTGCCTCCCTATCCATCCCCTGTCCTTCTTTCCTTTCTTCTTTCTTTCTCTTATTCAGAAACCCAGAGCTGGGACCAAAGTTTTCCAGTCCTGGTTTTATCTGATTGTGTGAAAATGTTCCTCTAATTTCTGAAGCCTTGCATTAGCTCTGCTGGGTAATCTTTAACTTGCTGCTTTATAATGACTGTAATGA